CAAATAAAGATGATTCTGATTCTGCATACGAACAGTATATTCTTTTAAGGATTTTATTCTTATATACGATACGATACAATATAAAGTGTATATCACTGCATCGTTCCAGATGATACAGGTCATTTTTGTCCAGTGATGATCCCTCACTGGAGATATATAGATATATAGATATAGATATAGATAGCAGTATATAGACTGTGGTTTTGAAAAGGTTTAAAAAACCAACCACAGAGGGATGAGTATCCTTCAAAATGAATCATATCCAAGCACTTTTATCAATGAGACCTGTACTCTTATTTCTAGCTGTCGCACTCACTATGACCTCATTATGCTTAAATGGAAATGCTTGAATGATTATTTAACTGCGTCTGAAACCCTCTATCTGACATTTGAATCAGAAGAGCATTATGCAGCGATTGACCTGCTGTGTGAAGGTGAGAAACTATTTGTTCTCTTTTTTCATCCTTTGTACAAACTCTTTCTCGTATATTTCGTACGTACAACTGAGCCGAACACCTTTGGAAGCCTTTGAGGAAAGACTGCGTGCTCCGTTAAACTCATTTGTATTATTCATTGTGCAAAAAAAACAACTACTAAAACATGTGAGAGATGAAGGAGGCAGTGTGATGCAGCCAGGAGGAGACTATGACAGCAGTCTTTTTGACCTGCCTTTAAGTGTGGCAATTTTGGAACTGCAACACTTTTGCCTTTGGACATGGAGGGACAACCTGTGAAATTATCCAGAAAGACCATCAAATGTTCCTAGAAGTATTAGCTGCTGGACTCTTAGAGGCTGGAGTTCCTAAAAGCTGCTGTGTGGCAACCAATTTTCAGTTTTACAGGCTAAAAACTATAATCATGGACGGTGTTCACCCACTAAATTGGCTTCAGTTTTGCGTGGGGAGAGGAGGCAGCCTGAAGAAGAAACTAGAAGTCTTGTAACATCAATATTAGAAAGCGGTTCCTGCTGTATTGTATGCATAGTATAAACTGTATAGCTGGTGGAAAACATGTCGCGCTGAAACAAAAGGCTTGTGCAGATGGACTGGGGTGAGAAAGACTGAGAGACAGTTGTAATTGTATACTTGGTAAAGCGCTGCAGGGCACAGCCTCAATTGAACACAGGAACTAAGACGTCACCACTTACGGAAAACAGCGCCAACATGTACATGTGTTTGGGATCAGGACATCAAGAGAGAGACAGGGAGGAATGGAGGGACCTTCCACAGAGAAAGGCGTGGTGCCACCAACATGCGGATGTGGCCCCCCGAAAAAACCCCAAACAGAGAAACTATATTTCCCTTCCTTTCTGCCTGTGCCAGTGGTCGACTGGCGGCAGCGGTTCACCACAGCATCCAGATGAATGCAGAAGTCTGTGAACACTGGACATGTTGTTTTCTGGGAGGCTAATAGGATGCAGGGACGACCGTGGAGCTGGTAACCCTTCTCCAACCTCAAGCTGTCTTCACGCGATGCTTCGACTCGCCTAATTGAGACCCAGGAGGCCTTTATTCTCTCTCTCCAGCTCTCACTATAACTCACTCTGTTCTTCTCTTTTTGCCTCTATCTCTTCATCCTCCTCACCTTCTTGCTGTGTCTATCTGTTCCTCTCACTGACTCTCCCTCTCCTCTGTCGTATTTTCCTACCTTTCTGCCGAATCACTCACTCTCTCCTTCTTTCGGCTGGCAGTTTACTTACAAATGGATTGAATTTGGTGTATTCACAAGGGAAGATAAACTGTGACATGGTGCTGAGATGTGGAAATGTGGAAAATAAAGCTAGGTGACAAACACGCCGCTGCTTTTGGCTTTAAATGCGGAGTGTATGCAATTGGTCAAAAATGTCATGTCTAATTTTTTCCCCACCATTCCTTCTGCTGTTGAACCCACTTCAACATAGTACAGGTTTGAACCTCAAATGCCCTGAGCCGGTTTCTTGATCAGATCACTATATTGTAGTGGTTCCTAAACGTATATTATTACTTAATACATTTCTGCTACATAAATGATGTTTCATTTTTTGACTTTTCTCAAAATTTCTTTGTGAAACATTGGATATCTTCAGTTCTCTAGGCCTTAAAAAATCCTTTATATCGAGCAGTCTGATACGGAAAAAACACTTTTTAGTTGAATTGATCATAACTTATGCATACAACCAAGTCCATGACCTGTGACAAGCAGTTGCAGGCAGACATTGCTTCTTTTTAAAGGACATGTGTGTAGGATTTAGGGGTATCTAAGTTGTGTAGTTGCAGATTACAACCCCCTCGCCTCACCCTCCCATTCTAAGCGTGTAGGAGAAACTATAGTGGTGAAAAACGCAAAAGGCCCAATCTAGAGCCAGCATTTGGTTTGTCTATTCTGGGCTACTGTAGAAACTCCATAAAATAATGGTAATAACATAATAAAAACCTGATTCTTACGTGTTTTCAGATGATTATACACTAATGAAAACATACCTATGAATATCATATTCCCTTTCTGCCAACAGATCCTCCTAAATGTTACACACTGGACCTTTGAGGCATCACAAGCCAGAAAGATTGTCTCACCTAAGTATCATAAGCTGCATTTGAAACCATTGCAATGTAGAGGTGAATAAAATAACCATTATTTTATCGCTTTAACTGTGAGAACAAGAGATTTGTGTCGTGCTGTTTTTTTGTGGCTCTTCACATCTCACTTTTTTCTGAATAAATTTTTCTCTTGCTGTGTGTGTGTGGTTTCTGTCTTTCTCTCAGCATATCTGTATCTTTCTTTTCTTATTCATCCCTTTGCAATTCAATTCAATTTGATTTAATGGAATGAGTGATGAAATAACATGATCAAAAACAATGCAGATGTATTTTTCAGGGCACATTTATCAACATTTCTCTCTGCTGTCAAGTCACTGAGCAGTATTGGGCTCATTTGTGAACTGGGGCAATAAAAAAGCCATTTAATCCCATGGAAGTCAGTTTCATTGTTTTTTGTGACTGCGGTCAGTTGTTGGTGACACTGAATGATGGGACCATTGGCTGAATTAACACACTGATGTGGCAACCCTGTACTGGCAGATTTATATTTTGTAAAACCTCCAGTTTAAAGTTACTGCAGTTTAGAGAAGAGAGAAAGAGAGGATGACGGGTAGAGAAAGTGAAAAAAATTAGAAAATATAACAGATAAAGACAGAAAATACATTAAATATAGAGTATATCAGAGGAGGAGAAGAGAGGAACAAATAAAAGATTAAAGAGTAAAACATAGAAGCAGATTGTGGTGGACATCCTCACCTGGTATGATTTCCATTATGGGGTTGAGCGTTGTGGCGACTCCTGCAAGAAACAGATGGGACAATCAGAGTGGGTTCAAAGGTCAGGTGGTTCTGTCCCACCCACACAGATGCCAACACATACTCAACACACCTCAGTTTATAGGAAATCAATACCAAGCTTTTGTGTCGGGTTGCACTGCAATTCAGGAGATGGTACGATTAAAAAAATACAAAAGGATGCAGGTTGTAACTTCACTTTGGGTGGTGCTACATAAATAAAATCTTAAATACAGACACGGAGGAGGGAAATAAATAAAAGGAACTGGAGGTTTACCTGTCCCTGTGTCATAGTCATCGGGTGCTTCGGTCTCACCGCCACAGTCCTGTTGTCCTTCCTCACAGTCTGTAGTTGGGGACGTGCCGGGGATGGTGATTGGCGCAGTGGTGGTCGCTCCGAACGTGGTCATGGGAAGTGTGGAGGCGATGGGCGTGGTGGGAGGTGCTGTAGTCGTAATGTCTAAAAAAAAGAGAGATGGATAACAGTCAGATTCAAAGTCAAAGACATTTGCTAGTTGCACAGACACACACGTACATTTGATTTCTTTCAGTCAATTAAAAAGAAAGATCAACAAAGAAAGTGAAAAAACGTGGATACATTTAACAACAGTAAAGAATAAGAATAACCTGCTCACACGTTAATTTCTTATATACTGCAAGAACTTTTCCTGGAACCCGAGGAACCTCTTTACTTCCCTTTCCACAGGAGGAACCAGGATCTAAAATTAACTCGTGCCACCAAAAAAGTCCCTGCTGAGTGAGCACTATTTTCTGATGTCTAAGAACTATAACGGCAGAGTTTGCAGCGTTAAATGAGCTAACTGAGCAAAGGCAAACAAAAAAACGAAACTTAACAAAACAATCTTTAACAAAAAACTGCTATGGCAGAAAAATAACAAGAAAAGGGAACTGAGCTGCTCATCGCTGCTTTGAAAACCCAATCTTCATGATTCTTAAGTTGCGGTGGAAAAGCAAACAGGAAACCTTTAATTTAAAAATAACAAGCAGATCAGTGTTACTTTGGAGACAGGTCTTCAAGTGTTGCTCCTCATTGCAAACAAACCCCAAAGAACAAGAACAAAGAAAAAAAAAGCGTGTCAACCACAGCTGTTATCAGTAACCTGATCTTCACAGCTCCTAATATGTGGTGTAAATGCAAACAGGACTGTGCAGAAGGGACTTTTGATCCTATGTTCCTGGGGCTTTTGTTCTAAAAAGTAAATCCTTAAAGAAAGGAAGAAGATTTAGGGATCTAATGAAACTGTTAAGGGCATCTGAGCAGTGTTGAAATAAAAGGGATGTTAAATTTAGCCAAATTTTAATAACATCATAAGACCTTTGGCCTTGCATAACCTCGCAAGAGATATCAGGTTGAATACCAGATACTCTTGTTGACAATCCTGCAAAACTCAAGTGTCTCAATTTTTCTGAAGACTGAAGAGCCGACACTCTTGTTTCCCATCAAGGACCAAAGTAATACTGACAGAAGCTCTTGTATCTTGTTAAATTCTACCATACAGTCGATGTCTGGTGATGTGTTTTTATGCAAATGAAGCAAATTGAACTTGAATTAGCATATGTAGGCTATGTAAAAATCACAGATGGTGTGCATGTAATTAAACTTTGTAAGGAAACGTGTTTGCAACGCTTTGAGTGGGATGGAGGTTTGCTCTCGCAGCAGCGTGGATGTAAGGAGATGATTTAACTCGAAGCTTGAAGCAGCATCAGCAATAACAAAAAAAAAAAACCACCCTGATTAAACTGCTGAAACTGATCTGCAGGCGTATTGTGAGCTTGTTAGTTTCTCTTGTGTTGTTGTGAGCTTCAGTTGGCATCTCAATGTTTTTGTGGCAACAGGAAGAGACTTTTTGAGACGGAGTCGTTCAATCAATCCAAAAGATCTGCTACTTCACTGATCTTACATCTAGCACCTTGTATTAAAAAAAAGGCTTTAATATCAACTTTAGTACATTTTGATTATTTAATAGTCTGGAATCAGCTTGTTTAGCTGTTTAGAGCACTTGAGGTCAGAGCTTTATCATTATGTACGTTAATGAAGAGATAAACTGTCTCAGTGAGGTATGAGAGGGTTATGATTTGATAATTGTATAGTACGGGACTGCTAACGTGTATGTTTGTGTGTGTGTGCTTAAAGTGTCTATATATGCATCTGTACGACTCTTCCAGTGTACACATGTGCTTGCATAATATTTGAGTATGTACAAATGTGTGTGTATGTATGTGCTCTTCAGAGTAAAGATTAAAGTGTGTGTCGTGTCCGTGTGTGCGGGTGCAGTGGTGCGTCCGACCATCGCCCACGACTCCACCGGCCCTCGCCCCCGGCCCGCCACCACCACCCCCCACCGCCCACCGCGTAGCACGGACCGCAGGGCTCGGCGGCGCCCGACCCTCCCGACGGCCGCACCACCGGTCCGACGCCGCGGCCGACGATCCTGAACGTTATCGAGCGGAGGTCAGGACGCCGCCGAGCGCGCCGGCAGCGCGGCGCGCGCGCGCGGCCCACCACGTAGGGCGGGCCTGCCGGGGCGACCGGGTCACGCGCCCCGCACTGCCGCCGCCTAAAATCAAGTTAATTGATATCAGTTCTCTACATCTGGTCCTCCGCGTGCTTTATGGTCATCCAGTGCTGCTCTCCTCGTATGTCTCTCTCTCTCTCTCACACCAACAGCCACACACACAACACACACACACACACACACACACACACATCTCTCATCGTCTACTCTGCAATCTCTCCTGCTTTGACTGATCCATATCGTTCTCCCTACAGGGCAACCAGATACTCCAGAGAGCCTCACTCCTCCCTTCATCTGTTCCTCCCTCACCTACTGTTGGAGGTCGAGTCCCCGTATCTCTCTTTTGACACACACACACACTCACACACACCATTCAGCTCTGACCACTGCAGCGGTAGAGATAGTAGCCTGCCATGGCATGCATCAGCCTTTCATGTGCTCGCTCTCCTCACTCTCTCATTAAAGTGCAGATAAGCAGCCTGAAGTGTAAGCAGCATTTCACTGTTTAAATGGCTGATTGGTTGGCTGACTGAGGCCAACAACGCATTAATGCAAATGCATCTGAAAGTGCTGTCTGCATGTTGAACATCTGACTTTTGCACCAATGTTTTACAGTGGTTTTTCCAACTATTTTAGCATCTGCATTGAAGTGCATTATTGGCCCACTGTGACTTTAGGGCAATACACACACATACAACACAAACACTAGTCCCTGGTGTGTGGACGCTCATCATAGACGTGTGGTTGTGTGGTCTTAAAAGGTGACCACTGTGCAGTAGATTTCTAAAACTGGTTCAAACATAAGATACAGTTATTAGTATATAATTACCTGAATATAGGAATCATTGTGTTTCATTACCTTAGAATGAGATTATTTTATCTACAGACGCTGCCGGTCACCATGTTGAACCACCATGTTTCTACAGTAGCCCAGAACGGAAAAACCAAACACTTGCTGTTTGTTTTCTGCAAGTTTCGCAGCCACTGTAGTTTCTCCTTCGTGCTTAAAAGGGGAGGGTGAGGTGAGGAAGTTGCAACTACACTGCTAGATGCCACTAAATCCTACACACTGGTCCTTTAAGTTTGAAGAATGCGGTTTCAGGTGTTAATATGAAGTTAAATACTCTAAAATGATCATTCCTAATTTAAGTTTGTCCATATTAGTGTGAAGATGACTGATTGAAAAAACCCATAAGCAGCTGCAGTCAGAGCTATCTTAAGGAAAGCATCACTTCCTGTAACCCAGCTGCTTTTCTGTATGTTATTTGTTACAGTCTGTGAAAGCTGAGCTGAGCACTTATTCTCGACCAGGAACAACTCTGCCAAAGCCAGAAACCACAGGAGTGTTCTGCTTTAATATCAACCTCCATGTAATATCGTAATATTAAAATGTAATATGATGAGACAAATTGCCTTGGGGTTGACAGTTTATACTAGCCCTTCTTGTTATTGTTTGGCAATAAATAATGGTTTTAGAGTAGGCCTGTGTATTCCCTTTAAGTTCAATTGTTAGATATTACTATTATAATAGATAAGTTAAAGATCAAGAAATGTTCATGTAAACACTAAATGATGGATATTACAAGAATCCTGGACTATATTATGATAAAAATACACTTCGTTTTTAATGTAGCTAACCTAACCTGTTGTATTTGAAAGAAAAATGTTGGTTCAAGTTCTTTTTAACCACATTTCATATGAAGTCAACGCAGACACTCACCATCCAGTTCACAGCCCAACAGCTCCAGTCGGAGGCCCAGGCCCTCGTTGGTGGCTCTCTCTGGGTAGATCCTGATGAAGCGGGTCAGGAGGGAACCCACCGATCTCAGCTCTGGGGTGTCGTGGTTCTGATTCCCGGCGAATATCTGATGCAGAAGACAAGAGAGACATATCAGAGCCTGGTGGTACTTTACATGAGTAAAGAGACACATTTCTTACAGACTCTTTAACATTAAATTAACTGTATAATTAGTTTTTTTTTAAGGAAGAGTAATGAGAGACTGTTGACTGAAGCTGGCAGACTCTCTGATCCAATTTCTAGCTGCAAATAGTCATTTGAGTTGATTTTATGTAGCCCAGAGTATCTGTGTTTACAGATCAGTAAAGCATTACAGTGTAATGTTAGGCTATTTTGCATTGAACATAAAGAAACTGCAGCTAAGAATGATTTTCTTTTTCTGAATAAATCACAGTGTCATTATGTAAATGACAGAAAGAAATGGGCAAATCTGACTGCTCTCTTCCTGCTTGGAAAACCCCGAGCACTAATTGCGCTCTGAAGCCCATCCTCGGTGCTGAGCGGGAATAAAACACACAATAACGTATACTGTTCTGATGTAAATCTGTTTCTGATCCGGCGTCGGACAGTTTGATAAGAAGTTAAAACCGAATGAAGAGAGGAAACAAAAGCAAACACCGGGAAATCACAACCAGAGGCCATCCTTTCATATGTCCGACATGGAAACAGCACAGATGAAAATGGTTTCCGTCACACTGGGAGTCAAGTGGTCGGACACCGAACACCAAAAGCACTCCTGCCTGTCTGAACCGCTGAGGCTTCCTTTTGCCTGATTTATCCCAGGCTGCAGTGTGGCATTTTGGGCGTAGCTAGGATGTGACCGTGTGTGCAAAAGGGAACAAAAAAATACCAAATTGGAATTGCAGTGGTGCATGCTAAACAGAATGCTAACTCTTTAGCTTCTTCTTTTGTTTGTTTTTGACATTAAATGAAAAAAAAAAAAGCATGAGATTACTTTTCCTGTTTACAATAAAAATAAACAGGATTGAAAAATACAATCAGATTAATGCTATATGCTAACTCTCATTTTTTATGTTGTGTGTGTACTGTCTTTTCTAATGCCCCTTTGATGAAGTTACATTTTTTGTTTTATTCAATTTTTATGGTTTATTTTTTAACATCTGCTGTGTTTTCTCAGCACCTTCATCTTTAGCTTCCACGTTTCGTTAGCAACACACGTCACCAAATTTTAAGCTTGCTGATTGGATTGTTTCCTGCTGAAAAGCACCTTGGGAGTCGTAGTTACCGGCTTCCTCAAAGTTTCAAAGTCCACAAGTTGTACCTTCGACTCTTTATCAAAGAGAGATAGTTTCTAACACGATTCTTAATATTTTGTAATGATGATTTAGCTCGAGGAGTTTCATGCTGATCAAAGCTGAAGAAGAACTCCAACTGTGAGATGTAATATTATCTATGGGAAAAATTCATGAGACTTTTACTTCTGGAGCCAGGGATGCCTTAAATAACTTTATAATAAATGAATAATAATGCATTAATATTTACTTGGGTTTAAATTGAGCTTTTCTTTTAAGGAAACTTTTTTCTTAAAGTTTGTGCCAAATTACATAGCTATTTCTGCGAAACTTACCTGTAAAGTGTAATTACCACATTGTTAACACATTGTTATTTTCGTTTCTGTGTCTCTGTGTGGGACGTGTACCAACACCACACCCATAAACTGATCCATTTTAAGCAACAGTAACTTTAAGTACACACGATTTTGTTATTTTTCAGTGTTAATGCACTTTATACACCAAAACATGTTTATTCACGTATAGTTGTCAGGCCTACTGATGTGGGATGAATCATAAAATCAATAATTATAATAAAATTAAATAGAGTTCAGCTCCAGAATGAACCTGAATACATCAGGTTGAGTTAACAACACTTAGAATTTGCTCTTATTCTAAATGTAACTCCCTATATGTTTCTCAACATACTGTGTAGCACATAATCATGTGTAAAACACGTCTAAATTGGTGTTTCTGCTTATTTAAGTCTCCAACTCTGTGCACTTCTGTTTATGCATGAGCATACAGTACACATACATGAGCATACAGTGTATACAGTGTGTGAGCCGAGGCATGTTTAAATGCATGTACCAGCCAGGGACCTTCCTGAGCCTTCCTGCCTAGTCTTTTGAAGAGGCTTTATAAAAAGACACAGGAAACAGAGCAGAGAGGTGGAGTGAAGGGACAGAGGAGCATGTAGATCTCCGTCTGCAGTAAATCAGCAGGAGTCTGATGGCTAACCTCGTCCTCCGCCCTGCCATCTGGAACACATAGAGGAGGAAGTCGCACCAACAGGGCCAGCCGAGGAGAGGAAGTGGGGTCTTGAAAGCAATGACATGAATTTCCTCTTGAGGATCAGAATCAAAGTCGCTCCAATCGCCAAGAAGGGTTAGAGGACCAAGACTGGTGGGATCTCATATTTACTACTGGTAATCTGAATCTGTGATATTTTTTTTATCTTGTCTCTATGTTTGGTACTAAGCACTCCATGAAACCATATAAGTTCATTTAACTCAAAACATTGTTGAAACTGATTACATCAAACATTTAAAGTAAAACCAACTCAATTTTGTTAAAAAAGTAGCAGTAAAAGTGATACTGACTTAATTTGGTCATTTTTATTAACAAAATACATAGTAAAAAGTACAAAATCAGGAATATTTCTGTAACTTCTGTCACTTAAAAAATACTAGTAAAAGCTGCTTCATCAAGAATCTTTTTTAACTTAACAGAATTTAGTTTGTTTTACTTTAAAATTTCAATGTAATCTTTTGTGACTGCAGTGTCTTCTTTACATTTTCTGGTAAAGGTGCAGGTGGCGCTCTTGTCCTCATTTGTTCAGCCATTGTGGCCATTATACAACTCATTTCAACCACACAATTGTTCCTCTGTTTATTCAAACCAGATGGTTCTGTGAGATATGTACGTAGTGGAAATGGTTTCAGATGATTGATTCTACAGTAAAGCTAAAAAAGAACGACATTTATCAGTTTACAAAGTGACATTAATGGCCAACTGACTGATATATTCACAGTAATTTACAACAGCGTAGGCTTTGTTTCAGTGGGGGAGTAGAATGAATCAAGAAGGGTTTTTGTGAACATAATTATAATGACGGTCTAACAAAAAAACAGAAAGATGCAAATTGTTACATTATGAATGCACCGCTTAAAATCAAGTTTAGCTTTTCTTCATACAGACGTGATACCTGAAATAATGTTGTGTATTTCTGTCTTTACTACAGAGTGCCTTTGATATTGAATGAAGAACACAAAGAGGAGGTGGCAGCTGGCAGGATGCTGGCAAATTGCTCCTTGAGCTCTTAAAGCATAATTGTTGTGAACACACAGCAATAATTGAAGGTGACTCAGATGAATATATTAATGTTTTTTATCAGCTCCTCCATTTTCTTATCATGTTGGATACATGCAGTTGGAAAGATTTTAGTGAGTAAATCCAATAAATTCAATTAATTCAGGTTCAGAACTGTGATTTTACATATTGTTTTGGTATTTTTGGGGGTGTTGTTATTAAGGCTAAATATTGAATATAGAAAAGTAATGTAATAGTAATTAATGTCTTAACACTTCTTAAACCTTATATTTCATTTTCTAGTCTGTATTTCTTATCTGTAATGTTATTTGCTCCTACAACAACCCATTTACATTTGAAAGCTTAATCATTCCTTGTGTCAAGGTTTTGTTGAGCACGTCAGACAAAAGCATCCAACAAACAGCTCAGTCAGAGCTCATATGAATAGTAGTCTATAATTTGGGTACTAAAACATTTCATTCCAGGAGCGGCGCTATGCGGCCAGTCGAACGTCTGTCTGATGGCCTCCAGGAATTACAGATTACAGTAAGGGGAGGTTTATTTCATGTCAACAACCTTTTATTTGTCTCCTGTATAATTTACTTCCTGTTCATCTGTGTTGGCCTGCATCAACATACTGTCACTGAACGAGGCAGACAGCATGGATACACTATGATGCAGAAGGGAAGAGAGGACAAGCCAAAAGTGTATGAAAAAAGGTTTCACATCTTACAAGCTTTTTAGTTAAATTCTCATTTGCTTAATAATTATACAGCACAATTTCAGATAAATACAACTATTTTTGACAACCAATCTAAAATTGCTATATAAACATCTACTGTTTTAAATACACAAACTCAAAGACTGACAAACTGATTGCTGATACAACTTTCAGATCAGCACAGTCACATGAGTCAAAACTGAGTCAGCAGCAGATCTAAAAAGGCAAGCTTTCTCTTGACCTGGGGTCAGAAACTACTAGATACATCCCTAACAGATAGACACATCTCTTAGGGATGAGGATTCAAAGGTGGGATTAGTCACTCTGGAGAAAGATGTTGACTGATCCAACCGTTAGTTCTGTGATTCTGTATAATTTTAATAGCAATGTGCGTGGAACCACGTGTGTCAAACGCAGGTTGAATGCACATTATGTATGCATGTGTTGAACCAACCTTGGGCTTGGTGGTGTTGTCCTCCTTGACAATGGTCCAGTCCTCTCCGTCTAGGCTGTGGCCCACCCTAAACCTCTTCATAAAGACATTCCTGTCGCGGTGTTTCCCTCCCTGGATGACCACGCCGCTCACCATCTTGTCCTGGCCCAGATCCACCTGCCAGGGACGACGAGAAAGGGACAATGGTTGATTTGACTTTACAGACAAACGATGATAGCAGACTTCACTGATTGATAGACAGACTATTCATAAGTGATTATTTTTTGGTTCAATAAACTGTCTCTTGCAGTAGAAATGAAACAAAACCCCATTACACCATACAAAAATACAAGGTATGAAGAGGATCTTGTTATTCAGTAATAATCCATCAGTAAACGTTCAATGTTCAGTATAAAACCCACCTGTAGCCACTCATTTCTGAAGGGCTGCTTGGTTTGCTGCCCGGTCCAGCCCGATCTCCCGGTCAATAAGCGGGCGTTTTCAGCCACCCAGCCCCGGTCAGCAAATGATGAGGCGCTGATCTGAGCGTCTGAGATCTGACCTGAGACCATCCCCAGCATCCCTGAACATGGGTAGTCTGTGCAGAGAGAGAGAAAGAGGGAACTGTTGGATAAGAAACTTTTGAAAGGCATGGAGTATGATAAGAAAGGCTACTGTCATCCTTATCTTGTCACTGCTTTAGTCAGCGGTTTTAGTTAATGCCCTCTGGGCGCAGCTACAGTGTTAAAACTGAAGAGTAAAAACACCAAAGACTCATTTATCATCTCTGGGAGGAGTTTCTTTGAGCTGAACGTGGAATGATGTAGCTTTTTGTGTGTATAAGCATGTATTGTTGTTTTGAGTGAATTACTTTATTGTTGGCCACTTCAACTATTAATACAGATACAGCCACTAGCACTGGTATGATTCTCCATACTCCAAAATGGACGTGACCATGGAGAGCAAACATGCATGACTGTATCTGTGCTTTAGTATTACTACTTCTCCTACTCATCGTTGCTGGAAAAGTCTGTCCTTGTCCCTTTTTCCTGGGATTTACATGTGTACACTGGTGTTTATGGCAGGAAAGGGGTTTAACCTTGTATTCTTATCTGTTCTATCCACTAAAAAGTTATCAAATGTATCTTAAATGTTATTAACGATGATTTAATATGCTATAAATTATCCCAGCTATTCAAATTTATCCAAAAACCATGAATGTCATGCATTTAGCATTCAGCATGACATCTTTTTAGAGACTGACTTTCTCTCAGCACCCCTAACTCTGACCGACTACCTACTGCTACTACTCTTTCGAAGGCCAACAAGAACACTGTGTCAAAATACTTCTTAGTGGGTGTCCAGAACGAAAAAAACAGCCAATCAAAACTAATTCAAAGGGCTGCGTTGCTTCAGGTGCCGGTGAGACGATGAAATACGATCCAGTAAGTCTAGTTTGAGTAGCAGATCCATCAGTTTGAAGGATTATCAAAAGCCAGAACACTGCACAGCGGTTTATCGTATTCAGAGGAGGGACGCTGGGAAGTTATCACGAGGGAAACACTAGAAAAACACTGTTAGTGTTACAAAGCAATCTAACAAAGCAATCTACCAGGAATGTGTGCTTGATTGGGCAAAACAGCACCGTGCTGGATGACGTGTTGCACTGAAAGTTGAGCCAAGCTGAACTTTTCTCTCAGACTCTGGCAAGAAAAGTTGACCCTGGAGCAACTTCCAGGCTCAAGTCAAGCCAAGTAATTATTTATATGACCATAATCAAAAAGGGCTTTACTATCTGTACAACATACAATACCGTCTATTCCTCGACCTCAGATTCACATGAGGAAAAACTCCCCTGATAAGAAAGGAGGAAAACCTTGTATTTTATCTTCTGTACCTACGGTAAAGCCTTCACATAAACTCAGCCATTGGGGCATTTTACAACTAGTGCTATTAAAACAAAAGGATATACTATACGACAATGCGGATTTTGTACTTTTTTGCATGTGCGTCTGAGAATTGCATGAGTACACGTTGTCAGAAGCCTCGAAGCAGCTGGTAGCAGAGTCCTTGGCAAATGTTGGAGGTTCAAAGTCTTGTCTCATGGGCACTTGACACTGACAGACTCGCCTGGTGAAAGGGATGATACATGTGGCCTTCAGGCTACAAGACAATCTGTTGAACAACCAGGCCAGTCTGCTTTCCCCAGTGTTGTTCAAGTACTAGGAAATGTACTGGGAAAATGACTGGATAATTGAGAGGCTTTAGCTGTGCGTTTAGTTTTCTCGGAATAAGAAAACTTAATGAAACTCTAAAATATGTGGACACAATGGTCTGGTCACTGCGAGCCAAGTTAAATCCATTATCCACAACAGGCTAGATCTAATATCCGGGCTCAAACAGTCGCGGTCTCAGTGTGATATTTGTATTTGACAAATGCTTCCAGAGTTATATCTGCCGCTTAACAACAGCTCCTGAGGATGTAAATTTCTCCATTATGTGAATTTACAGCTACTCAGCGCTCTTTATGGAAGCCCCCCACAGTACTGTCTGTGTGTGTTCATGTGTGTTTCTGCGTTTATGAGTACCAAATGTCCTTCCAGGGATAAAAAAATGGGTTACATGGGCAAAAGTGAGCTTGTCTTTCATGTATTAGATCACTTCTTTAAATTGTATGTTTTGGATTAGGAGTTTGGTTAAGGAAATTGGAATAAATTCAGGTCAAGATGAGGGTTAAGTTTAAGTTCTGTTTCACATTCAGCACTTGCACACCAAACACACACTTTCCCAGCTGTGTCATTATATCTCCTGAATCACCTGTCTAGCACTCTAGAGCCTGTTCTCCTATGAGTAAGAGCCTAATATCTACTTTATGGAGCTCTCCTACTGAGAGTTGCTTGTAGCACATCAAGGACTAAGGTTTATATAATGTTAGAGGATGAGTAATGAGGCAGCATGATTTTCCTCTGCTCCTCTGTAATGAATAACGGTGTCCTTCTGTGGGAGTTTGCGCTTGCCTTGGAAGCGGTGATTATTTTAAATCAACAGAGAGCAGCAGGAGATTCTCATCAGGCAGCCAAAAAGATGTTCGTTTAATTCACGATGTGCAAAAGTGAGAAAATGTTACAAAAGGGAGTACGGTCCGAAAAGGACTGCCGGCCGGGGCCAAAGGCAGGTAAAACTGTCACTCAATTCATCTCATGAGAGGTGTTTGCGTTACTTTATTTATGTATTCCCTTCGTAAGGATACATTTAATGTTTGTAAAAATGCATCTAAAGTCTCTAAAAGAACATTTATCTTTGTAAAATGTTACGAAAGCCTATTTTGCATTTGTGAAAGTAAGTTTTACAACGTAGGCTTAGAGTTTGCAAATGTATTAAAAAACATTGGATATGTGTGTATTCAAGGATGTGCTGGAGTTATTGAAGAACATAAAACAATGGATCATGAGTTCAAAGCTGGGAGTGAAGCCTCATATCATGTACAGTATGAGTTTATGCACTGTAAGAGTTGGCTAACGTTACCTGATGTTCTGCAGCCGTAGATCTCAAAGCGCATACAGATGCCTTGCTCCCAGGATATGGGGCGGATGCGGATGTAGCGAGCCAGAGTCTGTTTGGGGAGGAAGGCATGAACCTCGTCTGTCGGGTTGTGGTTCCCCTGAAAGATCTGATGATAAGAAAATATAGGGGAAAAAATGGCAATTAATGCTTCTGTTACCCATACTTTTTGTTACAAATATTATCAGTACTACTACTACTACTAAAGCTTTACTAACTTACTACTGTTGCTATACAGGTATTGAGTACCACCACCAGTACTACTCAGTACAACTGTAATACTACTGCGTCTACTGCTGCTATTGAAACTATTACTATTATTACTGCTACTACAACAATCACCACCTAAGCCTCTACTACTTGCAATGCTACTGAAATGGTAGCTGCACTGCTGGAGCTGTTGCTACAACAACTACATCTACAACTACTACTACTACTACTGATGCTGTGTCACCTGCTGTGGCTACTACTGTCTCCATTATTACTACTACACTACCACTTATACTGCAACTACTGCGATTGTTAGTATTCCAAGTACTACTTCTGCTGCAATGACTAATACTACTGTCTTAGAAATGCTTTTTGTGAGCTTGCACATGACAGCAGTGTGTCTAAATACTGTATTGATGCACATAAAAGCCTCAGCTGCAGTGTTGTTTGAAGCAGCATGTGGTTATAAAGACTTGTAATCACTGACCTTTCAGGCTATTTTCTGTATGACAGTAGCCCACATTATATTCCTCTGGCTCAAATCTACTATATGCTTTTATTCAAATTGCCTGAAAATACTGCATGAATAGCTAATGTTGTGTAATAATCAGCTGACTGTAAATGTCCTACAATAAACTTCTGCTATCCCTCTAGGCATTGGGACATGTATACAAATAGTTACCTCCAAAGAAAAAAAGTGTGTGTCTGATATGTTATATGTAAAAAGTATAATTTCCACATCACACACAGTCATAATCTATGATTCTGCTAAATGTGTTCCTTTCTAAAGTTTTCCTGCATTCAAACATCCAACTGTAAGAACAAGAAGAAAAACTGATTTATGAATGGAGGAGGACTTTAAGTAGAATCTGGTTTGACTTGTTTTGACATATATTGAGGCTGTTCATCATGAAGCATTCGAGACAAATTTAGCGTAGTGGAAATCTCTTCAGGCTCAATTTAACTTTAGTTGAGACTTTGACGTGATGTACAACGTCTGTCAATATGTTCAAGCATCAATTTATCTCTGCACCGTCGCTAAGACAACTTCCAGACCAGTGTTCCTCCGAAGAAATGGATTCTGATTTTGATGAGAGAAGTGGGATGTAAAGCAGACTTTCAGCGCACTCATTTCAGTCAAGGCCCAGATTAGGGATGCTGCCAAAGGCTGTCAGACTTGGAAACCATTGATTCAGCCACCCACATTTCTGTCCCCATTGATTAGAATGCAGTGTCCTTCATTACTCATCAATATTAGATAGCTATGGGTTGTTACAAAATCAGTGACTCATCATTACCTTCTGCTTTGAGCCCTCCTTCACAGTGAGCCAGTCCTCTCCGGTGGAGCTCAGGTCCACTTTGTACGAGCGAACATAGTAGTGCTTCTTGGTCTCTTTTGAGATCGCTCCCTGCGTCCCGATGGCCGTGACAAATCGGAGAAATCCCAAATCCACCTGGAAACACAAAATATGAGGACAGGTCAATGATAGGATTAGAGGCGAGGAACATCCGCAGAAGCTACTGGGTGCTCGAAATTAGGATTTGATTTAGACATATATCCACATATTAATTCATCTGTAACACCTGAACATGTTGTGAATAAAGAAATGTAGTTAACAGAGAACAGAGAAGTCTGAACAGTTAAACAGCTAAAAGTGATCATTAAAATGATTGAAAATGGATACCTTAAAACTACTGAATAAACACTTCAAATCATTACCTAAAAAATTCTTCACACTGGTCCTTTAATTTTAGCTATTTCCACACAGCTACAAATTAATGACCACAGTGTGAAGAATTTAGTGGCATCTAGTGGTGAAGTTGCAGATTGCAACCAACTGAATACCACTCTCCTTCCAAGTGTGCAGAAGACGGTGGTGGTGGCTGCAAAAGGACTAATCTAGAGGCAGTATTTGGTTTATCTGTTCTGGAGAAACATGGTGGTTCAAAATGGCGTCACATAAGTGGACCCGCTCCCACTGTAGATTAAAATGGCTCATTCTAGGTGACTCTTACTCTAGGTGATTAAACACTAATGAAAACATAGCTATGCATATTATATTCCATTTCTGCCTATAGATCCTCCTTAATGTTACACACGGGACCTTTAATTTAAAAATGGTAATTAGCTGTTTTGGATAAATGGTTGAAATAAAAACCAGCTTCTGACTCTCTTAGCAAACTTTACTTTTATATAATTAGTGTTGAATAAAAAGCGGTGTTGAAGCGGTACTTGAGTTCATCTGACAGGACTGCAGGGGTACATCAGACTGAAAAAGGTTCGGCCCAGAGGTTAAAGAAGTGGATTTGTGATGGAAAATCTAGATGGAGACAGCAAATAAGAAAGACTTTCCCCTCTTACAAAAAGTACTGTCAAAAAGCACTTAAGAAAGGAAATGAAAGCCTGAGGATGCAGAAGTTTTGAGCCTGATTTAACCCCAGACAAACATAATGTTTTGTTTGTTCTGGGCAGGTCTTAAAGTGTCAAAGTGTGTAACTGCATTAAAAAGAAGGACATTTTTTGAAAGCATCTTTCTTTGGAGTTACTTCTTGAACCGTACAAACAAAATATAATTTAAAGTTAAATGGATTACCAACTCTACTAGATCAAGAGCCAAAGCAATACAAAGTATGTTGCAAATACACCACTGCCTTGTACCATGTTTCACTTGATGTGGGAAACAAGAGGCTCAGATCTCATTAATTATACTGTGATCCGTCCATAAGTAGACAGTGAAAAATCAGAGCAGGACGCTGGAGAGATTGTCAGCCCCGTTTGTTAAGACAACCGCCTCTCTACAGCATAACGAAGACCTTCACGGAAACATTATGCAGTCAGTATACTCCTCTACTAAACTGCTGACAAGCGTTGTGAGTCATGAGTACCCTCCCTAATCATTCTCTCTTCAAATACCCACTTAAACCTGGTGAGACGAGGTGCTGACAGCTTAAAATCCTCTCGATCATTTTAGTTTCCATTGTGGCAACGATGACCGACTCTGAAATGTTCTTTGATTTAAAATGTACACTTCAGATAATTATATACGAGACTGCTTTACATAAACTTAGGTTATTCCCTTGGTGCTACTTATTGATTTTGATTTGATACAGTTAGGTGCGATACTGTGTTTTCACATTGTCAACAAAACAATCTTTTTCTAGGCACGACATGTGATTTAGGTGTTAAATACACAGAGGTCTGAGCCTCCGTGTCCTGATGAGTGTCTTTTTTGAGATGCTGAGAAGTGTGTGTAATGTCAAACTCATTTAAAGCATACCAGACAGTGTGTGTGAGTGAGTGTGTGGGAACCAGCTCCGCATCAATTTAACGGTTGTCCACCCGCATCACTAATGACTACTGTGTGGCCTGTGCTGTGTGTGTGTTTGTAACCCACTGGAGGTTGAGAGGTTATGTTAGACCAACAGCAGATATTATGAGAGAATCTGTGAATAAATAATGTTAAACAACTTGACTAAAACAAAGCTCGGGTTTATGCTCCCAAACTTGGAAAAAGTGAGTTAATTCTCAGAATTTTAAGAAATCTAGTTTTGCCAAGAATTAAAAGAGAAGATTTATCGTTTTAATCTTGGTGCATTCAAACAGAGGTCCAGGTTGGCCTAGCTTAGCACAAAGACTGCAAGCAGGGGGAAACTCCTAGCCTAGACTTGTTTTACTGTAACACACATAAACAGTTTTATGTGGAACCTTTATCCTTATAAACCCCTGTGATATTTGGATGTAATAGTGGCTGCCTCGCTAACTTAATAAAACATTATTAAAAAATACACTTTGGTGTTGTGAGAAATGTTTTTGTAATGCGGTTTCTTTATGCCCTAGGTCTAACAGGTCCTAAATCTCTGCTGACAAACAGAGAAGAAACAGTTATCACCCCCTCATCTGGCTCTAGGTAGGATAACAAACAAGCTAAATGTCAGAGATTAGGGTCAAGATGTCAGGGTTAAACCCAAACAAACTCTTAGCCAGCAGGCGAGTTAATGTTGACACAAAAGTATTAATGACTTGGGCCTAATTATTTAGCTAATAATACTATAAAACTATGGTCAAAACACAAATATAGAAAAATGATGAATTCTCAGGCTAGAAAAACATATAAATGAACAGAACAAACTATGTTAAAGACAGTCTGTGTACATATGCACATTAACTGGTACAAAATCAGTACAGCATACAGGTACAGGGTTTAAGATTATAGATTATCTATCTATTATCTTATTTCAGAATGAAGCTCCTGAACTGCATGCAATGTTAGAGAGTATCCTCACTAAATCTTCACCTGCCGTCCTGATGTTTTCTGACAAATATCAAGTTTTTAATTCTTAAAATCTCTACAGACCATGACAGCACTCTGCTAAAGCATGGGAATTAGCTGTCACAGCTTGAAATAGCCAACATTTCTCTGGTGCCTGAGGGGAATTTCCCAGTTTGATTGTATGACTAGACTGGCTAAACATATTGTCTTGTGTCTGATTGAGTTAGAATACCCAGTATAGTAAACACACTCACTAACAGAGACCCCCCCCCCACCCTCACAAGACATCCTGACAATAAATTCCACCTGTTTGGAAGCGTTTTAATTTTGGTTTTAGTTTTAAACTGACAAAACGGTGTAACTTGATGTTTTTTAACCAAGTGTGATTATCTTTATTTCACAAGCAGTTTCCCTTGTTCGAAGCGATAAAATAAGTAACTCCAAGTTAAATTACAGTGACATTATCTCATCTCGTGGCTATACTTTTTCCCACTTTTCTCATGAAATTATGATCTAAGGGCTAAATAACATATAAAAAAAAAAGATGGCCGAGGCATTTTATCTCACTGCAGCAAAGAAGTGTCCAGAAACAAGGCTGTTCAAAGTGTTTGGAAAAAATAAAGATAGAAAAAAAGATTAATAAAAAAGATAGTTATCATCAAAGAGAGCAGTAGCGATAATAAAAAGCCTTACAGTGGTCTTTCAGTGATTCACATGGGTATACTGTCTTAATGTAAAATTAAGAACTTGTCCGTTTATAGCTATCACATCAAGTTCCTGCAAACTGCATTAAAGCCTAAAGTGCAGTCGATTTGTTTTCAGAACTTTATATTAAATGAGGTGACACTCCATTTGACTTCCATTTCATTCCAATTCAGCTAAACTAAATTGCTTGTTTGTTGAGTTTGGAAATTGTCAGTTGCATACCAAAATACACAGCGCTTCAGCATGTGGGATGGCTGCAATATATGGTGTGTAATTATATTACCATAGAGACGTTGCCGCTGTGATACCGTACATGGGAAGGGACCAGAGGCCATTATTTAACTTCTCCCACTGATGCTTTTTGAGGAGAAGGGAAGAAAATAGCTTATAGTGGGTCTGTGTGGGCTCGGAGACTGACGGGGAGACCCCTGGGAAATGATTTTCTGTGGGATTGCTCGCTAACGTTCCCAGCTGCCTTCAGTTTTAAATTCCCATGAGATCCCCTGAACACAACACATACTGTATGTAACAAAGAAACTGTGTATGGCAAGTTCTGCTGTGAAAGCAAATAAACAAGCTAGATCATTTCTGTTGTAAATTACAGCCTCAAGAGTTGGGTTAAGAAATCAAGTAAAGTGGTTTTCAATCATTTTAGCTTGTTTAGGTTGCTTAAAATGTCTACTTATGACTCCCTGTCTCAGAGTTGTGAGCAGTTCAACCAAAGAGTGATTTATTTAAAGGCTTTTTGAGAGGCCTTAAGAGGTGACAGCATCCAGTATTTCATGAGAAATAAGTATTTTTGTGTAACAGCAATATTTTTCTTTCTTTCTTATCCTTATCCTTTGAATCATCTTATGACCCCTTAGATTTACCTTTGTCATCCCAACACTGATATATGTATAAGTCCCGAAGAATCAAAGTGCAAAGCCTTCTTTATATATATATATATATATATATATTCAGTGATCATACAGGGAGACATATTTCTCTATTATAGAACAGACACATTTCAACAGTTGACTCAATAGATCTGAATATAATGCAGTCATGAGAAGTAAGAAAAGTCCTGGAATCCACTGGCGGAGGCAATCTAAAGCTGAACTGATTAGCCGAGTAATCAATTAATTGAGCGTCAGAAAATTAATTTGGGTTGTTTTTTGATGAAGTCCCTTTTCAAGTAAAAATGCAGCTAATTGCAGCTTGTCACTTGTGAGAAGTTTTGCGACAGTAACGACTAATCGAGAAAGCAGCTGTAATTTAAAATGACAATGAACACTGAAAACTGAAGCTGACTGGATATTTAGTGTTTTTCAATTATATAACGACTAACTTCAGTATCAGCCCAGCTTCAACTGGGCTTGAGGGATTGCGGATTTAAATTCTGATTCAGAAAATTTAAAAAATAACACAAAAGGTTACCTCACATTTAAAAAACATCTTCAAGATGGCTTAAAAAGCGACTTTCCCCCCTCATCTGT